AGAACCCGCGGCCATCAGGGCCGGGCTGAAGATGGTACCCGGGCGTGGCAGGGGGGCTCGACAGCGCCACCTGGAACGGGGTCCGAAAACATGGTCCATAAATCAAACACGCTTGCATGTAATAATATGAAACTCGGTACACATGTAGATCTCCTCGTTTCATATATACTTCACACTCTTACTTTTTACCCCAGCCCAACAGGAAGTGGGCTATTTAGGGTTGTTGGTAAAACACACGCAATGGAATGTGAAATACTCCTCCTAGAGAATTCAAACAAACGGCACGAAACTCGGTCAGCATGAAGTCAAGACATTGAGGATGAAAGTTTGCGAGGGGATTTTTGATATCTCGAACGGTTTGGCCGTGGCGAGGAAACAAAATTATGGCGAGAAACGTGAAACAGGAAGTGTGTCATAACTACTGCATACATTAACTGATCTTGATGAAACTTCAACAGTGTGTTCGTTGTAAGAGCCCGATCACATGGATGTGACTATTGTGAGTCAAAGTTATAGCGCCACCAACTGGCAGCAGGAAGTGTGTCACTTCCTAAATGCTTTGAAATCACCCTCTTATTTTTACCCGATTTGCTTCAAACTTTATGTGTATAATGTAAACACACGGCAGATGTAGACCTGTGAAAGGATTATTGATATCTTAGATACTGTTGCCGTGGCAACACATCAAACTTTAATATTCTTGTTTGATGCTTTTGAGACTCTTAGCATGCTTGAAATTGCATGAAACTCGACAGACACAGGTATGCATATGGTTCAGATCAAGCCGGACAACTTTCTAATTAACTGTCATTAGCTCAGACCAAGAGGAAGTTAGATATTTTGGTTTGAATATGGTCATTTTCTCTCCCTCGCTCTCTGAGCCAATATGGCAAGCCGTTTTAACATTTAATCATTTTAGTCTACTAGTCTATTTTCATGCTACTAGTTCTTATTTTTTAGATACTAGTATCTATTCCATTAAGTACTAGTACTTATTCATTGGCGACTAGTGCTTATTCTTTAGATACTAGTGCGTATTCTTTAGATATTATTTTGAATACGTATTAGTAGCTAATGAATAAGTACTGGTATCTATTTAATAGGTACTAGTATCTAATGACTTAGTACTAGTATTTATTGAATAAATACTAGTATCTATTAATAGCTACTTGTATCTAAAATGTCATTTTCTCTCTCTCTCTCTGAGCCAATATGGCAAGCCGTTTTAACATTTAATCATTTTAACCTACTAGTCTCTATTTTCATTATTTTTTATTTTCATACAACCCATGTATTTTAAATGTATTGTTTGCTTTAAATTAAATTAAGATTGTATGTTTGGTAATTGAACCTAAATAAATGTAAAATTAATGTGCTATATTTCAGATCAATATATTTGTTTTCCTTCATTTTAATCAACACTAACTTATTTCTGTATAAAATAAAAAATCCCGAATAATCCAGACCAAGCGGAGCACACTATTTCTACAACATCATCAGTGCTGAAGCGGAACTACCAGAGCCGTTCGACAGATAGCGAGCAGATATTTTGTTTCACGTCGTGCACAATAACCCTAATGGCACCAGGGTGGCGAGCCACCGGCTTTATATATATATATATATATATATATATATATATAAATATAGCTGCGAGCAGCGATGAAGGGCCAAAGCCGGCAGTACCGCCACCCTGGTGCACCAGGGTTGCGGTGCCGCCGGCTTGGGCCCGTAATCGCTGCTCGCAGCTATATTTAATTTTACTTGTCTGCTGTCCAACACCGTCATTTGAAGGTACAGAACTAGCTGGTTCAGGTGATGGCAACACATCAACATCTTGCAACGAAGTGTCCAACAACACAGATGTTTCCACAGGAGGTACCACATGTCTGTTTCTCACCTGATCAATGTGCCGGCGCACTACCTGGCCATTCCCAAAAGTGACTTAGAGGCCCAGTCCTTTCCTGAACTATTCCTGGAATCCAGGCAAGACCTGAACTGAAGTTCCTTGTAAACACATGATCACCTGCACTCAAATGTCTCTTAGCATGCTGATCATGGTATAATTTCTGTTTCACCTGCCTGTCCTCCAGTTGACTTTTGAAGTCCGGGTGAATGAGATCTAGGGTAGACCTCAGTTTCCGTCCACACAACAGCTCCACGGGTGATTTTCCCATAGTCGACTGCGGTGTAATTCGATAGCTGCATGGTTAGGTGCCGAGGTTATGTGCTTGATGCTGTTACAGTTCATGAATTCTTGAAACTTGTGAAACAACTCCCATTGTCTGACACCACTATTTCTGGCAACCCATGCTGGCTGAAGCTTTGTCTCAGGCACTGGATGGTAACCGTGGATGTAGAGCTATTCAATGGGTGAGCCTTTATCCATTTAGAGTAAGCATCCACCAGTATCAGGAACATTTCACCTAGCCATGGTCCCACATAATCAATATGGATCCTTCTCCATGGCAGCTTTCCACGGGATGTAAAGGTGCACACGGAGGGGTATTCCTGTTCTCCTGACATCTGGTAAAAGCTTTTACGAGTCCTTCCACAGCAGCATCCATCTGGGGCCACCACATGTAGCTCCGTGTCAACCCCTTCAATCTGGTTATGCCTGGATGGCCACTGTGTAACTGTCTGCGCAGCCCTGAGGGGGAATCACTACACGCACACCTCACAGTACACAACCTGCCTGGACACCAGCTCTGGCAGCAACCTTAAATCTTTTAGCTAGGGTCTCCCCAACAAATTAGGCCCCTCTCCTTCTACTACGGCCATTGTTTTTTTCTTACATTTTTGATTTCCACTGTTCCTGCAGTCTGGCCCAGCACCTCCATATTTTCACCAGTATACGTCTTCAGTCTCAAACTGCAGGTTTTCCATTCTGGCATGTCTGTTTGTTTCCACAACTTTGAATATTGCTTTTTGCTGATGATCGTCACACCACAACCAGTGTCGTCTTCAAACTCCACTTCCATGCCATTCACCTTCACATAGTGTGTGATAGGAGCCACTTTGGGTTGGACTTGGGATACACACTGTATATTGTGTTAATATCACTGGTGTCCTCCCTCTCGTCACCTTCCTCCTCTCTAATGAGATTATTTCTCCTACCTTTCTCTTTCTTTTCTCCCTTTTACGCTGTTTTTTGACACCCCACGAAAGCTTGCTTGGCCCTTCATGCTTGTTTTGTGTCCAGGCTTTCCACATTTATGGCAGAGTTCATTCAGAAACTTAAATTCCTCTGGCAAATGTTGACCTTTAAATCTGTAGCACACGTCTTTTTGTCGCCCTTTTCTTTCAGGTGAGTACACTCTATGCGCTGCTGTCTGTCCTGAGTGTGTTTGCATATTCTAGATCAACCCAGTTAAGGCCAAACTGAGGGTCAAGCATTGTCGCCAAGAAATAGACATTATGGTTGAACTGGTCCTATTTCCCATTTTGCTCAACCATTTTGGTTCTCACAAAGATCCCAGAGAAGCTCTTTAAAAGTGATTGGTGAAGGGCTGTGGCTAATGGCCGGCAATGACTACTTGACTCTGATATTTGGAGCAGATGAGTGTTTAAATCCAGTACAGTGGGGACCACCATACTAATACCCAGCAAGCAATTTTGCTTTAAAAAGACGTCTTATAGCCATTCAAACATAGCCCTGACGTCTAGGCTAAAACTAAGCCAAATTTGGGCTGTCTGTGAAAATGTAACAGATGTCTAACCATAGCCCAAGAATAGAAACACAGGCTATGCATACTAGATGTCAAAGAAATTAAACCAAACACCTTGTAATCACTGTTTACTTTGCTTACATGATGGAATATCACACATCTCGCAAGTTATTTTGGCAAAAACGACATGTAACCAAAATCACCCAAACCTAGACGAGGCGGTGAATTGACGGCTGTTGCTCGCTGGGTGGTTACATTTTCTCACATTTGTTTTCCTTGCAATGGGTGTGTATTTGTTGTCCATTACTTTTAAGAAATGCCTGAAATGCTGATTTTCAACAATTGACTGTGGTAAAGTTCAGCCAATGGAGAATTTGCATCATAAAGTTGCACTGCTTGTTTTGCCAATTCTGGTCTTGTAAATCCTGCTGTGCAGCTTCTGCACATTTTGCACAACGCATTTTTCCTTTGCAAACAAACTTTTGCTGCTGTCTTGTGTAGTCTCTTATCCTGGGACAAAATAATAATAATAATACATTTTAGCGATTCTTACTCATTTAAAGGGAGTTTTTTTTTATTTTACAGAGTGCTTGATTCTTGCATTGTCAATAGAAGATCTTAACCAAAAATTTAATTTAAATTTAGTGTTCTGCCTTGGCAGACCTTTATATATATATATATATATATATATATATATATATATATATATATATATATATATATATATATATATATATTTATTCCGTATGTACACTTGTATATTGTTGCCCTATTGGTTTTATTGCTTCTATTGTTCTCCTCATTTGCTAGCAGCTTTGTACAAAAGCATCTGCTAAATGATTAAATGTAAATGTATGTAACATTCCAAGAGAAATGAAATGTCAATAGTGCAAACAATACTGTTAGAGGATCTTGAACATTTTCTACTCATTTAAAAAAAAAAAAAAAAGAAGTATATATATATATTTTTTATCAATTATTCTTAGTTATTTGATTAAATTGTCTTCTTCGAATAAGAAGTCTATACAAGTATGTATTTTGGCGGACCTTTATTTTGAACTTTCGCGTTGTGTTGTTGTGACGTCATTCGCGCATGCGTAACACGCGGCTCAGGCTCGAGACATGCGGAAGAAGTGATCTGTGCTTTTGAACGCTTCTGCATTGGTCGTATATAAAACTGCACGAAAGTTTTGACTTGGTTTTAAGTTTGTTATGTGCTAGTAACGTGACATTATTGTAGATTATTAAATGTAGTATTGCACAGCTCTATGTGATGTGCTAATAGAGGATTTGTTTGTGAATGGCAAGATATACACTTGGTATACTCTTGTAAAGATGGAGTTTGTTAAAGATGATAGTGAAGACATGAGTGATGCAGAAGCAAGCAGAATAAAAGAAGAAGATGGAGAGGAACAAAGAGGTTGGTGATCATTCTTTATTCTTTCCATTCTTCTTTCATGACTAACAAATGAAGTAGGCTAAAGAGAACAGCATTTTCATGGTCACCAAGTTTGTTTTTCAACCATATCTAATGTCATTACCATGAAAATGACATAAATAACTATAAGCAAATGAAACATCAATTAAAATAAACATGCGGTCTCTAACAGTCAGTTTAATTGATTTTTAACTATTTCATGTGTTCATTTTAGACCTGGTGGAAGGTAAAGAGGAAAGTGAAGAACAGAATGAAGTGGAGGAAAAAAAAAAAATCATAATTGGAGAAAAATCTTTGAATTGCTCCCAATCTGAAAATGATCTTTCACCAGAAAGAACAGAACTGAAAAACTGCTTCACCTGCCCAGAATGTGGAAAGAGTTTCACATGCAAACGAGACCTTAGGAGGCACATAAGGATTCATACTGGAGAGAAGCCGTTCACATGCTCTCAGTGCGAAAAGTGTTTCGCAAATTCAGGAGACCTTAAGAGGCACTTGCGAATTCACTCCGGTGAGAGGCCTTTCACCTGCCCTCAGTGCGGAAAGAGTTTCACACAAAAGGAAGGTCTTAAGGAACACACCAAAATTCACACGGGAGAGAAGCCTTTCGCATGCATGTTGTGTGGGAAGAGTTTCACACATCAAAACAGCTTGAAAAGGCACATGAAGGTTCATTCTGGAGAGAAATTACACCAGTGCTCTGAGTGTGGCAGGAGATTTTCAGAGGCCTGCAATCTCAAAACTCACTTGCTGTCTCACACTGGAGAAAGACCATTTAGCTGTGAGCGCTGTGATAAGAAGTTTTTTTTGGCCGTTCACTTAAAGACACACATGAGGATTCATGAAGAAGAAAAGCGTTACGTGTGTTCTTTTTGTGGGAAGAGTTTTTTGTGGCTTAACGGGTTTAAAGACCATCAGAAAACACATATTGGTGAGAAACCCTACGTGTGCTTGGACTGTGGAAGTACTTTTATTAGACCCGGTGAACTGAAAGTGCATGAACGAATCCACACTGGAGAAAAACCTTACAAGTGTTCACACTGTGAAAAGAGTTTCACAGTTTCGGGAGCATTGAAAGTGCATGAGCGAGTGCACACTGGAGAGAAGCCGTACCTCTGCCCTTCATGTGGGAAGACTTTCAGCAGATATGGAAATCTAGGGAAACATTTAAAAAATGCTTGCCCAAAGTTGAAAAGCTGAGTTCACCCTGAGGAACACGCCTGTTATGATTCATTGAAAATGCTTTCATTGTTTCCATTTACATTTTCATCTGGCCAAAATGTGGCTGTTTTTTTTTTTTTTTTTTTTGCATTGGCCAATAATTTTCCAGTTTGGCCACTAGAAGCAGGACTTTTATTTCGACATCGCTGAGAACCCTAGGATCACCCATTCTCTGTCTCTATTAGTGTTCTGTCTTTGTTTAACAGTCGTCTAATAATAATAATTTCTAGCACGGTGGCACACATAGCCAGCCGTGAGCTATAACTTTCCTAATGTGATCATCAGAAGACGGCCTTTGCAATTCTAATGTTTTATCCATGCATTACAATCATGACCGAAAACAAAATCAACATTTAACAGCGTTTCCCACAGGAGTTAGTGAAACTCTGATGGATGGACCTAGGCCTCAAAGGAAGACAATTTTGTACCATTTAAAGTCAAATTCATAAATCTGGTGCACTTTGAGAGTACGATTTTAAGAGCTCCAACCCATAATCAGTGTGCAATGCATCGCGACTTGTACCTGAACTTTAAAGGGGACTCAACCCTTAGTTGTGATATAGTGTCTCAGTCTACATTACACTACATAATACTAATAATAATATAATATTATTTATATGACAGTAATAGCCATATATTGTAAAACAAATGCACTGCAAAAATAAAGAAACTTTCATAATTATTTTGCCTTAATTTCTAAACGCAAGAGATAAACCTGTGAGGTTTTATTTTAATGGAAACTGCAGTCGAGCTTTTATTTTAGCAGAAAACAAGTTTACAAACGCGTCTCATTACAAATCTAGTGAAATGCTGTAATCGTCAACAATGCAAATGCTAAACTCAGCAGTCAGCACATGCACAGATAGAGTTCACTGCATTCATTCACTGTGAACTAGGGCTAGTCGAAAAAATCCTCGATTGCAATTTACACATGTCGAGTAACCGGTAAAATACCGGAAGTGGCGCCTTCCAAGATCGAGGATCCATGAACTGCGTTATTACACTGTTTAATAAGGCTACGCGATATATATATATATATATACATGCATTTACAATCCTAATATAGCATAGTGCTATTGTGAAAACACAAAGGCTGCGATTCAGTTAAATAAATATATGCACTGTTTTTTTTTTTTCACAGAGAAGCACGACACTTTAATTATTTACATGTGTGCAGATTACATGTTAAAAGTACCTCAGCTCCATTCACCGTTGACGCTGCTCCACACACACTCGGCCTCTGCATGTGCTGTTCGTTTAGGTTTCCAATAACGTGCGTTTGGGAATGCACAAAGTCGGACGCGGTTTGTGTTTCATAGTTGCACTGTCATCATTTATATGTGTGGAGCGGGTCTCTGGTTTCTCAAACTCAATCTCTGCGTGCTGTGAGTTTGGGTTGCTTATAACGTTCATCTGGGAACGCAGTGTGCGCCATTTCACAAGATAGCAACTCATTTGTAAATCTACGTTTGTCATTTGTAAGTCTGACTTTTAACACAGGAGAATACATAAATATGTTTCTAAATATGCAAATTGTTGTTCATCGCGATTTCAAAATGGTCTTAAAGCCCCTGTGGCTGAAAGTTGTAACCGACTTTACTTTAGTGTTGTGACGTATTTCCAAGTGAAACAGAATATTGAACTGAGTCCAGGGTTTTATTGTAGCGCACCTCCTCTCCATCCCTCGCTCATAGCAGACTTACGGTTGGAGGGGAGTGAATTAAAAATTAATATACATGTAAAAACCAAAGCACAGACTGAAAGTTAACTGGTAAAAGGAGCACAATTCATCTGAGCTTAGTAATTCTCTTAGCCTACATATGATGACCCACTCTCTTACCCATTACAATAGACACTTTACAGGTTCTGCTATCATAGAAATACACTTATTTGTAACCTACATATGGCACATGTTTTGTCTAACAACAAATATATTAGCAAAATGTATTGGGTCATTCCGTGTCAACTCAACCAGAGGTCCCGGCTCGTTTTTGATTTTGTTAATATTTACGGGGCTGCATAATGACAATTTTCACCTGAGATTTGGAGCCAAATTAGAGGTGTGTAAAAATGATTTTAGAAAGATGGCAGAATCATTATTTTATTTTTACACAGAGATTGGTAGTTAAATCTGTTTACTTTAGCAATATTTGTCATCTCATTATATGCCAACAATGACAGTTCAAAAATGGCAAAAAGCACTTCTTGTGTTTTTTGCCTCAAATTAGGATGCTTGTAACCCAAGAATTATTAAAGATACATTTCTAGTTTCAACATTATCTGTTCTTCAGATATTCCTCTTTTTAAAGAAAAAAGTATCAGCTGAATGCAAAGTGACCCATATTTGGTTTTTGACCACTGAAAATGTGTGCAATTTACTCATGGAGCCGCATTAAGATCTCCATAACTCTGGGATTGAAGCATCGAGGGCCTTTAAAATGAAGATAACAAAAGGAAAGTTTGTTAAGAACCAGAATCTAAAAGGATATTAAGATATCTATTACTTTGTGAGTTACAGGCATGCAAACTTGAGGCAAAAAACACAAGAAGTGCATAAAATGAGACAAAGATTGCTAAAGTAAACAGATTTAACTACTAGACCTACCAATCTCTGTGTAAAAATAAAATAAGGATTCTGCCATCTTTCTAAAATCATTTTTACACCCCTCTAATTTGGCTCCAAATCTCAGGGGAAAATTGTCATTTTGACCCCTCTCTACAAAATAGTGGATTGCTCAGTAAATATACATTTGTGACATTTAATATTTTGGCTTTCTTCACTATTTATGTTTGTCTTTCTACAGAAAAAAAATATTAACAAAATCTAAAATTTGAGCCGGGGAAGTTTCCGAAATTTGGTTGATTTGACACGGAATGACCCATTAGATTTTAGTCAGAATTATTGCGCTCCTATTCTATTGTTCTCCGCCTGTTTGGTGCTCATTTACTGATGTCTGTGAAGGTTAGCGGAGAATCGCTTGGCTTGCATAAGGCTTGTCCACTCCTGAAAAGGAAATATTTGACCTTCTAACATTTCCAGATGGAGAATATACCTGTGAAATGTAAGAAAACACCACATCTCAAACACAACAAACAGCACATGTATATGTATCTGAGTGTCGGACGAGGCGAGCTGCTTTAAACTATACACGTTAACTATGTCTTACGGGTTATTTTTAAGCCCTTAAAGGGATACTTCACCCAAAAATGAAAATGTATAACTTTAATGATGTCTTTCCCATCGTTTTGGACCTTGAATGTGTAAATTGCGTTGCTCAATGGAGGGACAGAAAGCTCTCAGATTTCCTTAAAACGATCTTCATTTGTGTTCTGAAGATGAATGAAGGTCTTGCGGGTTTGGAACGACATGAGGGTGAGTAATTAATGACAGAAATTTCATTTTTGGGTGAACTAACCCTTTAATATAAAGCATATTTCATGTTTAGGATAAATTGGATTATGCAGTTTCCCTGCAGAAGCTCATTATTTTGTGTCCTCCGCTATGTTTCGCTCATATCAAACTACTGTATATCGATATAAACATTAGCTATGGCCTCATCCTGTATTGTTTATAAAATATATATTGATATATTGTACAAACTCGATATACCGCCCAGCCCTACTTTAGGATAGCTGTTAAATGATCTAACACAAACAGATCGCTTTGCTGATAATTAAGCGAACATTTCACTACTACAAAAGTAATTTCTCACTAGAAATGACATCAAAACTGGAAAAGGTTGGTCAAAGTGTACATTTACACATTGTTCAACTGTAAGAGAATTGAACGCACAGGATTGTGGGATATCATAGGCAGTGAAAGATACATCTAAGCTGCCCTCAAAAATCAATCAGATGAAGGTATCTCAGTATCAGGATTACATGATCAGTGGATTCGCTACGTACCTCGTTGCCCTCCTACCTCCATATGCTGTTCAATTGGCAAAAATAAGCGCCCACCAAAGCCAACAGAGACCAAAAGAAGTGTATGTTGCCATTGATCGGCGTCTGTCGGTGCAGTGTGAACTGGCCTTTAGTCTAGAGTAGATGCTCTTCTGAATGTAATGCATGATTAAATTTGTTTGATAATTTTAGTCTGTTGAGGTTACACAGCGCTGATGTGGCCCGGGGCAGAAACTGAAATGGATGTCCATCCTACAGTATAACTGCGCCCTCTATAGGGGAAATTAAACCAACCACAGACTCTGCAGAGTTTGCTGTGACACAGGATTATGCTTAATGCAGAGACACACTGAACTGTCTTCAGTTCACGTTATTATTAATCATGATCGTTTATTTTTCCAAATAAATAGAAAATTAATAAATGTACAACCATTCACAGAAATTGAGCAAATTCATAAATCATCAAATTAGAGATCCACAAATATACCATTCACAAAAATGAACTGAATTCACAAATGAATAAAATTAGATTGAAAATTGCAAATGTGTTTGTGTCACAAAGACAACTGGATTAATTTGCACGCATACATTTGTGGATTTCAGAAAATTTCTATCCAAGTCAGGCATAAAAATACACAAATCAGTTAAGATTTGCCATTGATCATTCCCCAAACAACAGCTGTCTTGTTTGGATTTGGCTGCAGTGATATGCAGTTAACCTTGAAAATGTTCACAGAACCCGTGTGAAACCACTTACTGTAGTCAGTAGATTGGCCTGTGCATTTTATTGACATACCAAAAAAGGAGTGCTAAAAAGGAGCATTTAGATTTTGAGGAAATAAAAGTATTCCATTTAAAAATGGAAATATATGCTGCTTCATACAGTCCACAGAGGATTTTGACAATGTTTGTGGTCAAATATTGCATAATTTTGTGCATTTATGAGACCAAATACTGTTAAATAAATTACTTATGAGCCTGGAAAAAAGGTTTCATTTCTGACTGACGTTTGGCTGTGACACATAAAATGAGAATTTTTGAATTAAAGAAAGGAAATGAGGACTGGAGCTGTAAAACTCTAAAATGTCAAAAAGCTCCATAAAAGTGGTCCATGACTTGTGCTTGATATTCTCGGTCAATGATAGGTTAGGATAGCTCTGTGTAAGGAACAGAACAATATTTAAGTAATCAATTATTCACTAAAAATCTTAAAATCTCTTCTTAGTCAGGTCAAGTCACATTTATAATGCAAAATAATGCAACAAAGTTACTTTCCAGAAGAAAATGGCGTCTCAGTCCAGCGATCAGTGATGTTTCATTTTGTTGTAAAAAAGTTATTAATTTAGTTAATTTATATATATAGCCGGCCTGGAGAAAACCGTGATGTCATCGTCCAGCTCGGTTCAGTTCTCATA